CCTTGTATGGCTTGTCATTGCAAGTGTATATCTGGCTACATCTTCAATGTTATGAGGGTTTCTGCCTCCACCATCTTTACAGGCAGTGAATTCTAGATTTCCACCACCATCTGGGTGAAATATTTTTCCTAACGTTTCCTCTAAACCACCTGCCCCTTACCTTAAATCTATGTCCCCAATCATTGATCCCTCCACCAAGGAGAAAATCTCCTCCTTGTCTACTTTATCAATGCCTCTCATGATTTTATACATCTCAATTATATTCCTCCCCCTCCTCTGTTTCCAGGTAAATAAGCCGAGTCTGTCCAATCTTTCTTCATTGCTAAAACTCTCCAGTCCAGGCAACATCTTGGTAAAACTCCACTGCACCATCTCCAATGCTATCGCATCCCTCCTATAATGTGGATTCCACAACTGCACACAGTACTCTAGCTGTGGCCTAAACAACCAAATGTGCTGACCAACTTATTGAACTTGCCATGAACCACTACAGCTAGTCTGAAAGAGCCTGAGGACTTTTTTCTTTTTTTTTGCAATAACAAGCTTCACAAGTACTTTCATAGACTAACTATCTCACAACCCAACAAAGCAGCAGCAGGCTACCCCTGTGCAATCACCAACAGGGAAGCTTTTCATTCTGTCAATGCCCAATTAGTGTGTGACCATCAGCAACAAATAAGTGCCAGGTATTCAGGCAGTGATCATGTCTCTTTGATGTTGAGGAACTATAAAGTACCAGGCTGGGTCAATGGGCATGATGCTTTGGAAATTGGACTGCTTGGGGATAAGGATACAACTGTGCATTGCATGGAGGGGATGCTATGGAGGAAGAGGAACCACAAGATGACATTGAATCCTCTGATTAACTCCCCAAAGGCATTGACAAACCACAATAGGACAGATGAAGGGCCCTGCAATGGATCACCTTGATGGCAATGAGATACATGATATATTAATAATGCGGATGTTTCAGAATACACATTGTACAGATCTGAACAGCCTGCAGTCCAGCTGCAGTGTCACCATACCACCTCCTAATGAAAGAACGTTCACATTATAACTCAGGACAATAGCCAACACTTAACTCAAATCCATCCAACATCTATTTTAACATCTTGAATTATCTGCTAATAACTTTGTGTTTCTTCTCTAACTTAAAGCATTAATAAAGCTATGAATTTACCCCTGACACAAATAAAACAAATGTTTACTGATCAAAACCCCCTTCACAATTTGGGGTGATCAAAGGACAACAAAATTGAACAACTTGTGATTATTGATAGTGATATTTAGACTTGTTTTCATGCTCTGTGCTGGATATATTTGGATGTCGTTCTCTGACTTGCTTTGGCCACAAGGGAACAGCCATGGATAATGCTCAAGCTCAGATACCTCCTGTCTCTGCAGAAACAGACTGTGGTTTGGTCAAAGGCATAGTGGTGGAGTGAAGTATTATGTGTCCATCAGAAATACCCTGAAAGGAACTTGCAGGTGGAACCACCTGCTCACTGGCATTGAGGTATGATGGTAGCTCCATGCTTACCTGGGAGGGACAATGTCGTGTGTCCAGACTCTGGTTCCTCTGTGGCCCTGGTTGTACGTCCTGAGGACCCAGCCTGAGGGTGATAGAGTCCTGGTCATAACACCTCTCAGTGCTTCTGTAATCGGCTGGACCTGGTCCTCCAAGGCAGTCACCATCCTGACCAGGGCAGAGGCAGAGCACTCTGACGACTGGGGGAATGCAGTGCTTAACATCTGGATGGACACCTCCAAAGTCCTTGCCATAGCAAAGAAATCCTCTCATAACCCAGCCATATCTCCAAGCCGGTCCAGCTGGGCATTCAGCATCGTTCTCACACATACGCCAGCGACTCATCATACCCACTGGGATTCAGCATCTGGACCAACTCCTTCAATCCTCTCACTGCCATCCCAGAAGCTGTCTCCATTTCTTTGTCTCTGGCAGCTGTATGGGTGAGTGGGCAGCGCCCTCACCAGCTTGAGTTTTCTTCGGCCTTGAGGTGTGAGCCGCTGCCCTGGGCCGTCATGAATTGGTCCGGTCTGATCATGTGGTACCTCAGTCAAACTCATACAGGTGCAGGAACAAAATGTGGTTCCTCCACCTTGTGCGAGGCAATGACAGTGCTCCAGCCATTGTCTTTCCAATCCCCACCCATCACATTTGCAAACCCTTCATCATCCTCTGGTCTTTCTCTATTGTAATGCCTGTATCCTCTCCCCTCACACCTCTGGGTGCCGGACAATTCAATGCCCAGATGGCACCTTCAAATTACCTTTCCTTCTATGCCCACTTCTGTGATTAAGCTTTACAGCTGATCTCACTCAATCGTTCATTTGCTTTCAACACTGCTTCCAGATCCAAATAGTGATTCCACTGTTGCTGACCTCCACTGCAAACTCCATCCAGATTATTTTTGGGAGAGAAGCTGGGAGGTGTCCTTAAATGATCAGCTGGCATGAGGAGCTGTCAATTTCTGCTGTTGGCCTAGACAGGGCTCTCAGGGAGTCCTCATCAAACCGCGGGGATTCTCCTTTCACCTTTCTGACTGTATATTCTGACATCCCTCTGCCGCTTAGGGAAACACACCTGTGGTCACTCTGATCCAGCAACGTTTCTCCCTGCTGACTTTCCTACTTTTTTTCTTCTGATTAATCTCTTCATCTTTGATAAGAAACCTTACTAGTTACTCCCTTCAGGTGAGAAAAGACATTTAAGACTCTCCTCCAGTGAGATACACAGCTTCCCTACACAATACATAATCCTCCTTTCCTCCTTGTGAAATGGATGAGGTTGACCAATGCGCACAGAGTGGTGCCAGCTGCCCCTTTAATAATTCACATTCTGACTACTTCTGGCCCTCCTGCTCCATGCCTCGATTGCAAAGCCATTGGACGAGTAGCCCATTGTTTCACGTAGATGTGGGCTGGGAACCCACATGGAGTCCACAAATTGGCTGAATTGCACCTTATTCAATGGCTGGATCAGTTGGGGGTGGGGTGGGGGGGTGGGGATATAGTTGGGGGGATGCAGTTCCATTCTCTTCCAGGCTACCATTTCGCCCACTGATATGGCTTGGTTTCCAACCTCTTGTCTCAGAAGGACAGAATCTACAACTTCAGGTCGATAATTGCTTGAATCATGTAAAGTACAATCAGAGCTTCTCGGACCACTGGAGGCAGACTCCGCTGTCACTTTGCAGGGCCACTTACCGCATGCGGTGCAATAGATTTTTAATGCTGCCATCCAAAGTTTAAAATTATACCCGACGCATCCTGTCCCCACCATATATCCATACTGCAAGAACTGCATATATGTGGATCTGTCAATGTCAAGGCAAGGGACAATTGCAGGAAGATTTCACTGACATTGCAATTGAAGCCACAACATGGGGTGGGAAATGAGAATCTTTCGGCTGTTTTAGGAAAGCTTCGTCCTCATACTGAGATCAGAAGTGGTATCCTTCACAGTTTAAAAAATACAAATGTGTATGTATGTAAGGAGTCATAGTCCACAAAGGACCAGTGGTGAAATATTTGATGATGTATAGCTTGAAGGTAACCACTCCATAAAGTGTGAGGCAAGTGAGAAAGCAGGCCTCTATCAACTACAATAGCCCATACAGGGTTTGAAAAGACTCTGTTAGCTTCATTTTGCACAATACTCTAGTCACTCAGCCAACTGAGCTAGCCGAGCCCCTGTAATATGCAAACTATTACTCAAAAATAAACAAGCATCCCATTCGGGATGAATTTAGTAAAAGAAACATTGGTATCTGTCATGGATATATTCATGGTTTTGAATTACTATTCAAGGGCAGAAGAAGTCTTATTGAAAATTCTTACAGTCACTGCTCAATTTACAAAAGATCCAGAAGGTACCACAAGGTTAAATTGATTTTTATTGTTCACTAAAGTGTCAGCATGTACCCAGGATCCAGGGACTGATATCGCCATGCCTTTCTCACTTCTCCTGTAACACATTTTGATGGTTGTGAGATCAATTAGCCCCACAGTTAGCGTGTTCTCAAGCACAAGCATCACAGTGCTGCTGCCATTCTCTGAAGCCTTGAAGTGCAATTTGGAACAAGCTAAATGCTTAGTTCTCAGAATGCATTTCATTAAAGCAATCTCAGTATTTTTCGACGTGAAACAGGGACATATGTTACGAATGAAAACACTTTAAGATTCTAGCCAATGCGAAGATATGTTTTATTATGAGTGTGATGTCTGATTTATGCAATTTTAGAAGATATGGTTTCAATGTCACGTTCCTGCACAAAAATAAATTCCTTTGAACAATGTCTTTCCTCATTCTTAACTGCATGATTGCTAATGAGTAGAAATCTGAATTTAGTTTGACTTTTTTTTTAATTATGGTAAATGTTTATCAGTTGGTTTGATGGAATGAAATAGAGATTTCACAACACAACAAAAATACACTGCAAAAAGCAAATGCTAAGTAAAATGCAGTAACAGTGAGATATTTTGTTATTATTTTCTGCTAATTGCAATGTTTTTGTAAATGTTAGGTGCTGGTGAATGATCAAACACTTGTGCCTATGTATATCATGATGATAGATTGTAGATTGCTTTCTTCTTCTGCCGATGATAGAAAAGTTTTCTTCTTGTTTTTTTTAATCAGTCAGAATCACAAGTGTATAAATTGCGCCATCTGCTGGATATCATAACAGTTTGCATGAAAGAACAAGTACGTTATGTTGGGGTGACTCAAATAGCTTTGGTTGCATTGCAACATTTTATTGTTAAATCTGGTAAATTATTGGAGTCCTTCTAGGAAAATAATTGAAACAAATTCATTTATAATTAATGGGTGCAAGAATTTAGAATGAGGTGAGTTGAATGGATTTTAGACAATAAATAGTGGTGAACTTGTTCATAAACATATATTGCATTGTTTCCTTAATACTTTTGGATGTAAAGTGGTTTTTATATACCTTATTGTTTCTTTCCTTTATCAGATCAAATGACAGGAGATCATACGCGCCTCGAGTTCCACAATATTGAAACAGGCATAGTGACGGAGAGACGATACATGTCAAACATCCCTTCAAATTTCATTGGTCATTTACAGAGCCTAATGTTCAATGGCATGCCTTACATTGACTTGTGCAAAAATGGTGATATCGACTACTGTGAGCTCAATGCCAGATTTGGTTTAAAAAATATTATTGCTGACCCTGTGACCTTCAAGACAAAGTCCAGCTATGTAGCACTGTCCACGTTGCAAGCCTACACCTCCATGCATCTGTTCTTCCAATTCAAGACCACATCAGCTGATGGACTGATACTGTTCAACAGCGGGGATGGCAATGATTTCATTGTGATTGAACTCGTTAAAGGGTATGATTGGACTCATTACATTTCAAATACAGTACATGTATAAAATCTGAAATTAAGTTTACCAAGTTACATTTTTGGAGATTATGCTTGCATACTTTATTGCCATTATAGTTTTAATCATAATTCTGTTCCCTCATACTAATATTTAGCAAAATTTGCTGCTGTATCTGAAACTTTCCCTGTTCATAGTGCGTAGGAAAACAATTGATCTACGTAAAGATTCTTGCATGACTATGTCGTTAAGAGTTACATTGTAGTCGAAAACATTTTGCCTTTAAGAGACATGAACAGAAGGACACAATGAGAGGTATTTAACTGGATTGATGAAGGTTTCTCCCACTGGATAAAGAGCCAGGAAGATCTCTGAATCTCCTGTTGACAAAGCCCAGTGGATTAATGTCCAACTAGGCACTTCTCTGGAAAGCAGCAATTCTACCCTGAAATCCAGCAGATGGGGATCCTAACTCTTGAGAGCTGGCAGACAATTAGAGGCCAGCAGCACCAGCAAGAGAGGTGACTACTGCTAACAGTGTGTCCACCTGAGACCTAGAATCCTTGAGGAATCCAGGGAACAGGAAAGTAATGGTGTTTGGAGTGCCCAGGGGAAGTGAGTCAACCAGAAGGGGAGGAATTGGCTCTTAGCAGACATTCCCTTTCCATTGCCAGATTCGGCACGGAGTACTTTGAGTAAGCGAGCGCACTGGAGTTTGTAAGGTTTCCCACATGGCAAATACTCCATCTACAGCTGGCTGAATTCCAGCAGTAAGGAGATGAAGTCCTTATGTGGGTAATAATTGCCTGCTTCAGGCCCTTACTTGGCAGCAGAGCTTCCCCTCCCCAGAATTACTCAGGGTAAAGATGAGAAGGCAGCAGGACCCTCCAGCCACTACCCTCCTACCTGATTCTGCCCCCACCCCAACAAACCAAACTCCTTTTGGAGATTTCTATTCTAATCTGAACCAACACTGTCCTGTTCTAGTATCTGTGAGCTAATAACTAACTTCCTTATTTCTTCCCTCCACAGGTACTTACATTATGTATTCGATTTAGGTACTGGCCCTTCCCTCATTAAAGGTAACTCTGACAAACCACTGAACGATAATAAATGGCACAATGTGCTGATTTCAAGGGATGCAAGCAACTTGCACACTGTGAAGATTAACTCCAAACTCATCACTCAAAACACAGTCGGAGCCAGAAATCTCGATCTGAAAGGTAAGGGACTGTTGACCTATTCTCTAATAAAGCAGAATTTCTTCCCTTTTCTAAAAACAAAGAGTGCTGGTTTAATCCTTACACGTTATCTTCCAATATTCTTATTCTGTATTGATTCTCGGCCTTACCAGATTTCTTCAGACTTATCACTGCCTCTCAGGATTTGATCTGGCCAGTTTATGTTTTCACGTTCAGGTAGAATGCCCAAGAATTCATTTTGACCTGCACTGGTGTTTTATACCATTATTAATTTGGACATAAGAATATAGGCTAGATTTGACTGTGTTCAGCGTTCTTGGTTTGCCCATGAAGACAAAAATTGAGGAATAAACCTGGAATAGAGCAGCTGCCATAACCAAGCTGTCATGCATCTGGATATGATGCTTTCTATGGTGCATCTATGAAAATTGCTAAGTCATTGTGGACATGCTGAATTTCCTTAGCCTTCTGAGGAAGTAGAGGCATCAGTGTGCTTTCTTGACTGTAGCATCAACGTGGATGGACCAGGACAAATTGTTGGTGATATTTACTCCGAGGAACTTGAAGCCCTTGACCACCTCCACAGTCAGGGCTGTGTCCTCCACTCTGCTTCCTAAGATGATGACGAGCTCCTTTGTTTTACTGACACTGAGAGAGAGAGATTGTTGCCTTTACACCAAGCTACTAAGCTCACTGTCTCCTTTTTGTACTCTGCATCATCGTTGTTTGAGATCTGACCCACTTATGGTAGTGTAAAGAGCAAATTTGCAAATGGAGTTAGAGCTGAATTTGGCCACACAGCCTTGATTGTGTAAGGAAGTTCAAAACTAGGCAGCGTACTTTTAGAGTGAGAGGAGAAAGATTTAAAAAGACATGAGGGGGAAACTTTTTTACATAGAGGGTGGTTCATGCATGGAATGAACTGCCAGAGGAAGTGTTGGATGCAGGTACGGTGACAATGTTTAAAAGACATTTGGATAAGTTCATGAATAGGAAAGGTTTGGAGGAATATGGGCCAAATGCAGGCAGATGTGACTAGTTTAGTTAGAGAACATGGTCAGCGTGGACTGGTTGGACCCCAGGTGTCTGTTTCTATGTGGTATGAGTCTATCAATCTATGACTCTGAGTATATTAAGGGGCTGAGTACGCAGCCTTGCAAGCAGGTGTATTAAAAGAGCAGAGAGAGATAGAGTTGTAGAGAGATGGGGAGAGGTAATACAAGAACATAAGCCCCAGGCAGCCAAATGTTTGGCCAGCTTGTCCAAGTGATGAAAATTAGGATGCACTTGAGTCCAGAATTAGAGGAGCTCAGATATTTCAGAAGATTGAGAGCCCGAGGCAATAACAGAGATAGGGATTGCCAGTGCCAAAAAAGAATTTAAAAATAACATTGAAACATTTTAAGTTGAGACATTGATAGACTGGAGCAATGTGAATCAACAAACACAAAGGTGAGGACTGAGCAGAGCATGGTGCAGAGACAGCACAGGATAAGGAACTTCCTGACAGTGTGCAAGAAGATGGGTTTAACATCTTTTTGCAGAGAAATGTGATACTGCTGCATCGGTTTGCTTCAGCCTTGAAATAAGTCTGGAATTTCTTATCAAAATTCTCTTCAGTTTTCATTCTGAAGTAAAACACATTGACAAATACCTGCATTTCTTCTCAACAGTAAAGTATTCTGAGTTCTCAGTGTGTGAAATGTCTCATTGACATGTTGTCCTCTGTGACTCAGCTTTGAGGGTCATTTGCCCATCCACCTGAAGATCTATACTTCATTGAATTTGGAATTGTATGCTAGCTGGTCTGACTCTCAATCAGTTGACATTCTTCAACTGTAGCAATCTGTCCGCCAGCATTGAAATAACTGCTCCCGCGTTGAATTTAAATTCAGTCGCAAACACTTGTACCTTCAAGGTGATAGTCCCAAGTCTGTTTAGACTCTCTTTCATCTTACCTATAAAAATTGTCTTCACCTTTTGTTCTGTATATTTCCTGAGATTCTTCCTTGTTACGTAATTTCTGCTACTTTGGATGTTTTCTTTTTGCAAGTCCTTTTTATCCTTTTGAGTTGATAAAGTTTCTCTTATTAGAGAATATTCTGAATATTGTGACTGCTCACACTTATAGCACTCGGATCCTCCTGCTGGGCATTCATTGTGAATGCAGATCAGTTTTGACCCAATCTCGTACAATCTAATGTGGTTGATGATATTGATCCCACTCTTTTGGCATTTTGCTGGGCTTCTGTGAGCGTGGCAATACCATCTTGTGTCCTACCCATCCAATCATATCTGAAGAATCCCTGACATATCTTTGCACCATTGAACAATTTGGGGCTCTGATTTCTGGCTGCTTAATGAATTGGATTTCCTCATTAAACCCTACTTGGTTTAAGGAAAATCTGATACTTCTCATTCCTCACATCAGCTACTTTATGGCCTCAATGCACCTTTCAACCTAGCCACACCCCTCTTGATGGTATCAATCCATTACAAAGGACTTCTGTTGGTTCTTGGAATACCAACTATATATCACCTGTTCCAGCACACTATTTATTTTGGGGCTAAAGTACGGTACTTCTATGTTTGACCTGACTGAGTACTTGGGCTTTTACTTTGAAATGTTCTGATCCTGTATTTTAACTCTCCAGAGCATGGCAGGTTTATGGTTAGCTTTCAAAGTGTCCCCAGGTTGATTTTTCTATCCTCTGAGTCTTCCTGCTCTGTAGCCCTGTAATTGAAGTCTTTCAAAATCCATTTATTCCTCTGTCTTTGGAGATTTCTTCTTTTCCAGTTTTATTTTACTCCAATCTTATGAGGTCTCAGCCTGTCTTCAGAGTCTTCTTTGTTCAGTTGTGACCTTGTGCCTATTTTAATGTCCTATCCTGGCTCTAGATGTTCTTTCCTTAGTTGCCATTGTGCTTTGCCCTGTGCTTCAAGCAAATACTGCTATCTGAATACTGTGATACTTGTCTGGAGTATCTCTGAGCTGTGGGTGTCTGCACATGCACTGCTCCATAAGCCACTTATTCCTTATGTCTGGAGTAAGCTTCTCCAGCCCCTTGTGTACAGTATCACTCTAGGTTATTCAATACAACGCACTGGTATAGCATTTAAAACCTTTATCCTGTCATGTTGTTTCTACATCACTCACTGATGACAAAATCATGTTAAAATCAGTTATATCATCATGGTTTACTTCAATCTCATTTTGCCACGACTCCTAACATCTCTTGCCAATGGATCCACATTCATGTCGGGAGTGCAAGTTTTTGCTGTGGCTTACAAAATTGTATTTTTAAATGGAATCAGTAGCAGGAGCAATAGTTTCATCCACTTAGAGGTAGATCGAAAATAACAGCTGCACAGTACTTTGTACAGTCACTGATAATTACATCGTAAAGACACACAAAATAGGGAAATAACATCATTTTTACTATTTGCTCATCTTTTGCTCATACCAATTCATTGCAATGTTTACTATTAATGTTTTAAATACGCATCTTGACGAATTCAAGTGCTGAAAGTACTTAATGTCAAAAGTGATTAATATTTGGCAGGAACATTTGTGTAGGTTGCTGGAACTAGACAACAATGGAATACAGCAATGTAGAAGTATAGTGTCATTCTGGATTGTTGAAGTACAATGAGTCATATAATATTCACAAGCAAATAATATCCAGAAATTTGAAGGGACTGTGTTAAATACCGACTGGAAGGTTTTGTTTCATCAGGTTCATTGAATGTCATTCAGTGTGTAGCCTACAAAGGATTTCCTTTGTGGGAAGTGATGCTTACAAAGTGAATGAATTCTTGTTCTTACCTTCACCTCCTTTACAATGTTAATTTTCGAAGTACAGTACAATGACTGCAAGGAAAATGAAAGTGGATGGCATTGTTTACACTACAATCAAAAACTAAAGATGCTGAAAACGTTGTGAAATATGTGTGAAATGGGAGATTGTGGAACAACAGTCCATGCTATGCTAAACCTGACTCTTTTTATAGGTGGATTTTTCACTTTTGGATGCATTCAGGAAGTTGTGACCAAACCATGCTTGAAATTGCATTGATCAGAATGCTTCATTAAAATTTATTTTCGTAATCACAAAATCAAAGTTCCCATGAAGCCACACAGTTCTTTGTTTTCATTTCCGGAATTACTGTTTGATGACTTAAGTTAAATCAATAAGATTTAAGACTGTGTTAATTCGATTTATATTTTCCCCAATCCTTAGGAGACTTGTATATTGGAGGAATTGCCAAAGACATGTACAAAACATTACCAAAGCTGGTGGCATCGAGGGAGGGATTTCAAGGCTGCTTGGCTTCAGTAGACCTGAATGGACGACTACCTGACCTAATTTCTGATGCTTTGTACTGCAATGGGCAGATTGAACGGGACTGTGAAGGTATCCCTCATTCTCTCCCTCGAGAGCAAAATCAATCACCATCATTCTATAAAGAATCCAGCATATTTGTTGTTGTTTCAATATCTTTTGCAACATCATTTTATTTGTCGATATTATCCTGTTATGTTTAATCTTTAGAGTGCTGATACTTTCTGACAGAAATGCCTCAGCTCACTGAACACTTTTAAGCTAAAATCAAGTCACTGAAACTGTATAAAGATTAGGTAACAAAAGAATAATGGATTGATTTTGTAGGCAGGATTTGAATTTTTTGTCCTCCTAGGCATTTTCGATGCCTCAACACATGTTTTCAGAATGTATAAATCATCATGTATTAGAAATTACTAAGTGATGTTGCTTACTATTAATTGAAGTATGTGCCCATTTAGAAAAAATTAGTTAATGCTTCTATTAATTAGTGGTGAAAGAAAATTTAATATGATTTTGTTAAGTCTTCATTCAAGTATATTGCATGCAGTATTTTTCAAGCTTGCAGTCATAAGTGAGAATTATATATTCCGAAAGTAATTAAAATGCTGATACTTCAATCATAAAATGCAAAGTATTCTCTCAAAGTATTTACTTTTGTTGTTTAATACAACATAAAAGTGGCATATTTCTCTAATTCACTGAAATATTGTTAAAATCCCAGACCTTACTAACCAAATGTATTTGAAAATCTAACTAGGGACCAGTAACTTAATTTTTATCATAACTAAAGTGTAAAATCCAGAGGGCCTTAAGACAATAAAACCACAAGGATCTGGGTTTTGAACAAATACCAATTAACTTAACTAAGCAATATAAGAACAATAATGCAATCAAAGTACACTTTATATTCTGATACCCAGAATTAATGTGGTAGACATGGGTAATGGACTGTGATAAAAAGTGCATCAAACAGCAAATGCAATCAAGACAGATCTTGTAGATTTCTCAGCAACTCACCACCACCACCGCCACCAA